TGCTCAGGCGGGTCTCGAACCCGCAGGCTCAGGCAATCCACTCACCTCAGCCTCCCAAAGGCGCGGGATTACAGGCTGAGCCACATTCATTTAATCTTGATCCGCTTTGTCCACCATGAAAAGGCTGGTTAGGGATGTGGATTCTCTAATCAGGCTTTTATATTTGAATCCAGGTTCTACACTTACTAAATGTGGGACCTTGAAAAAATGACTTAAACTCTATTCTTCATTTGTGAAATGAAGACAAGATTATTTACCTCACAGGATTTTCATGAGTGTTACTTCAAAACAAAAACAAAAACAGAAAACAAAACACATGTAAAGTCTGTAGAAAAGAATGTAATGCTGTTTAATGCTATTGTTATTATCAAATTTTTAAAACCTCAGGAGTAATATGGATTTTCTAACTCTGCTATACTCAAATTTTGAAAAAGTAACTTAACCTTTCTTGGTTAAATTATAAGGTCCTGGGATTTAGTCAGAATCAGATGAACTAGAATCAAATTTTAGTTATATAATGTTCTATCTGTTTGACTTCATAAGATTTCTTAACCAAAAAAAAAATTTATTAACCTCTCTGAACCTCAGTTCTCCCATCTCTATCTATTTTGTGGTCAATAAATATTTATTTATCTGAGGTTGAAATTAATGTTTACAAAATTACTTTTGTACTTTTTAAAAACCTCTTGAGTCATTTTCTCCTAATATTCATCATGTCCACTGACCTTATATCTAAAACAGATAAAATAAATTAAGTATTTAAGTTAGATTGGAAAGGGAGTTCCAGTGGAATTTTCACCTTAGTGTTTGCTGAATATATATATCTAGAGAGAGCGAAGTAATTTAAGAAGATCGCTTTTAATCCAAATCCCTTGGGGTTCTTGTCTAGCTTTCTCACCCAGTTTCCAGATATTGTGATGGATTGTATTTGGGGTGAACTCGGGAATATGTTTTGTTCAGGAAAAACCAGATTTTTTTTCATTCTAAAGTTTGAGAATCTCTGCTGAAAACCGTATTTCTATTTTCTACATCTATACCTTCACTCAGTATGAAAGTCTGCTTTGCTGATAAAGATCTCATGAGTTCACTGGGTGTGATTTGTCACTTCTCATCTACTCCAAGAGGAGTTGTGGTTGCTGATGTTGTTTATTTGCTGCTTCATTAATCTCTCCCAAAGACTTTGGGAGAAATAATGCCGCACAATCTCTCCTGCAACCCTTGCAGTTGTGGAGCACCTTTTCCCGCCCAGATTTGGTCCAGAGAGGACTGGAAATATCACTGAAGAAACTCCAGCTGAGCTATGTGGATCTCTACCTCATCCATTTCCCAGTACCTCTGAAGGTTAGCACACGTTGCTTTACTTTGGTGACCGACATAAAAATTAGCCGCTGAATACAGGAGAGGAAGATGAGAGGAACACAAACAACACTTTCGAATATTTTCTTTCTTCTTTTCTTCGGAAACGGTTCCCAACTCAGTTCACTATTGTAGCCCCAGAGTGACATGATGTCACTGGTATCAACATGTTTGCCTCAGTCTTGCGGATGTTCTGTCAATAGTTCCAAGACTCCATGTTCCAGAATCTTCACCCATACTCACCGACATCTGGAGAACGTCCTGATGTCCCAGTTCAGGATATTTAGTGAGGATGAGACAGCATTTGAGATGCTGCAGACTCAATGAGAAAGGAGAAAGTTCTCTACAAAAACCCAAGACAAAGAGGCGCTCTGGGCATGGTCAGAATCAGATGAACTAGGATCAAATTTAGGCTTTGCCTGGGTTGATGTCCTGGGTGCCTCAGGTCAGCCTTGACACAGACTTTTAGCACCTCAAAGCATTTCTAGGAAGTGTGCTTCCTCAATGTGCTTCTTTTGCCTCTAGGCTAACTTTAAAATTCCGTTCAAGCACAAGGACAGAGTGTCTCTAGGTCTTAGGATCCATAGGCCCCAAGCTTGGCTGAAGCCAGACAGAGCTTTATACAAGTTCTCCTTCTTTCCTGTCTTCCAGCCTGGAGAGGAACTTTTCCCAAAGGACACAGATGGAAAGATCATCTTGGACACAGTGGATATCTGTAGCACATGGGAGGTGAGTGCCCCTCTGGAGAGGCCATATCTGCACCTTGGGAGAGAGAGGACAGACGAGGAGTCCAGGAGAGGGAGACTGGCTCCAATCCTACCTTTGTTCAAACTCATTTCAGATTTCATTAGTTAATCATTCAACCAGTCCCGACTGAGTGCCTACAGGATATCCAACTCTATCCAACATACTCAGGCAACAACAGTGACAAGAACCAAGGTCTCAACCCCTGGAGTGCAGATGTTATGAGGGGGGAGGTACTGCTGAATAAGGAACAGAGAGTGCTGGGTGCGTGTGGGGCACAGGCAGGCAATCAAAAACAGAGTGGCAGGGTACGTCTCTTTGAAAGAGTGACCTTTGAGCAAAGGCTTGCAGTGGATGAAAAGTTGATTGTGTGGGTATCTGGGAAATGTGTGACTCAGGCAGAAGGAAAATCAAGGAACAAGCCTTAAGAAGGGAGAGACACTACCATCTCCAAGGGACAAGGGACATGTGAGACTGGGACAGAATGAGCGAGGTAGACAATAGAAGGACATGAGGTCAGAAGGAGCCTAGTCAGAAGTCTAGCCCGTGGACTTCCTGCTTTCCAGGCAGCACCTGCCGCACTTCCTGTTCTCATGACACTCATGGTGTCATCACTCAGAGGAGCTTTTTGAAGCACTCGCTAAAGACTGTGCTGGCTTCTTTCGCTCTGTCCTGGACACTTGCGTCCTTTTTTTAAATTATTTTTTGAGTTGGAGTCTCACTCTGTCGCCCAGACTGGAGTGCAGTGGCCGCTCCCGGCCACCGCAGCCTCGACCTGCTGGGCTCCGGCGATCCTTCCGCCTCAGCCTTCCGAGTAGCCAGAATTACCGGCATGCACTACTACGCCCAGCTAATTTTTGATTGATTGTAGAGATGAGGTCTCGCCAAGTTGCCCAGGTGGGTCTCGAACCCACAGGTTCAGGCAATCCACTCACCTCAGCCTCGCAAAGGCGTGGGATTACAGGCTGAGCCACTGAGCCTGGCTACTTGCGTCCTTTTTTTGCCCTGCCTTCTTACCCATTTTTTCCCCTGTTACTTTCCATGTGTCTCTTACGCAGTCAATTGCCGCCTAATTGACTGACACCTGCATTTTGAAAGTCTTGTCCCTCCCACCGTCACCTGTTCTCTCCTACGCCCAGCCCACCCTTAGCATCTAATATGTATTTTTCTTCTTGAGTCAGTTATACAGATTATTTCTGACAACCTCTTCCTCCCCAGGCCATGGAGAAGTGTAAGGACGCAGGACTGGCCAAGTCCATCGGGGTGTCCAACTTTAACCGCAGGCAGCTGGAAAGGATCCTCAGCAAGCCAGGGCTCAAGTACAAGCCTGTCTGCAACCAGGTGAGAGCCCTCAATTCATTTCACCAACTTCCTCTTCCTTGATCCAACAAGGACACCAATGACAGTTTCCTCTCATGTATTTTACCTTTGGACATCAGATACTTCAAGGGAAGAGAACACATGCCGAGGTGTTGGAAACAGTGCCCAAGGCCATGTCACTTTATAAAAAAAAACATCTAAAGGTTAATTTTTATTTTGTAGTTGGAGTCTCACTCTGTTGCCCCTGGCTGGAGTGCAGTGGCACACTCATAGCTACCGCAGCCTTCATCTAGTGGGCTCAGGCAGTCCTTCCACCTCAGCCTTCTAATTAGCTAGAACTACAGGCCCACGCCAATGCGGCTGGGTAATATTTTGATTTATTGTAGAGATGAGGTCTCACCATGGCTCATCTTGCCCAGGCTGGTCTTGAACCCCTGGGCTCAGGCAATGCTCTTGCCTCCGCCTCCTAAAGTGTTTGGATTATAGGCGCGATCCACCATGCCCTGCTGTAAGACTTTTTTATACTGAGAGCATACTCTGCTAGGTGTTACTTACGGTGGTTGATTGTAGAAGGTGGAGCTAGCAAATGACTGACAGCCACTTCTTATCTCATAAAAGGGTCAGCAAATTTGGAACACTTGCATGTAAAGGAAAATGGATGATTCATCTTTTTAAAATTTTATTTTAAAGATGCGAGGTACAATTCGGGGTTAGGTATACAAATGTTCATTATGCAAGTACCCTTGTGGATGAGGTGTGCTCCCCCTTCCCTGGCAGTTTCCCTCAAATGCCAATCCTCCCCCACCAAGTCTAAAAACTCCTCTAAGTACTGTGCTTTGAGACAGCCTCTGAGCCTCTCCATGGTACAAAATCTCTTTCAAACTTATTACTGTTTTGAAAAAGACTACTCTGACAATGGAGATCAGTGACGGCTGTGTAATAATGTGAATGTACTTAATGCCAGTGAACTGTGCACTTAAAAATTTTGAAATTATACAATTTATGTTATACATATTTTACCTAGTAAACAAGTAAAATTAGAAAGTTTTCTTTTTTTTTTTTAAAGTGAGAAAGCAGGATTTATTGAGAGGACAGAAAAGCTCCCACAGTGGGAGGGGACCCGAAGGGGTTGCCAAAAAAGGTTTTAGAAGTCTACACGATAAGACAAATCCACTTACAAGAGCCGCGCATAAATGGCCATATCTTAGAGGGTTATGAAGTCACATGAGCACGGACTGACAATGCTTCTGTGCTACAAAAGGCCATGACCCAGATGAACGCATCTGCTATGTGTAGACTGAGTGAGGATAGTCCATACACATATTAAATATTAGCAAGGCATTCACTTTTCTGTTATTTCTGGATGAGAAGTACTGATTGGAGTTCTAAAAAGTTTTTTCTTGTGTGCCCCCCGGAAGACTTGCTTACACTTTGGGCATCACCCGTTTAGAGAAAGGAAATAATAGCTTCGACTCAGGTTATTGGTGAAGAATCAAAGGGGAAGCTAGACCTTACCCTGAACTCTAGAGTGTGGAAGGAATTTGGCCCAATGGAGGCTGATTGTTTGGGAGGGGGCTCAAGGGAGCACGGAAAGCTTGAGCCAAAGTTCATTATGGTGTGTGCAGCGTACCAGCCATCGTGAGAAATTAGCTCAGGTGAGGTGTTGCAGGGTCTAGGTTGGTTTTAATCCCTAGATCCAATAAACCAGGCTTCCTCTTTCTCAATGTTCATGACTATGACAGCAAACATGCACGCAGCAGTTGCATAGAAAGCTGGTTTGTGCTTAATGACTGAGCCAGCCCTAGCAACCTGAGGCAGGGTCTCTCCTGCAGGCTGGGGCATACAGTTCAAGTGGGCCCGGAGTGAAGCTTCTTACTTCCCTTTGAATCTCTGCCCATTCCTCTTATCTAATCACCAGAGTCAGGGGACAAGCAGAGATTAAAAAGCTTGCAGCAAAAATTTTGTTTACCAAACTTTCAGTTTCTGGGTTGGGAGATCATGAGCTTGGAAACATTACTCATGTCCTCACATACTAAATACAATTCAACAAGTGGAAAACTAACAGCTCTTCTTAGACCTGTCAGTGAACGGAGGTCACAAGGCAAGTTGCCATCCCTAAAACTGGAGAGACTGGCTGATGCAAAGAGAATCGGTGTCATGCAGAAGCCCAGAAGCAAACACCACAGCTGGAGACAGTACTGGGTAGGAAAAACTCAACTGCGACTCACAAACTGCTGGAGACTCAGTGTGGACAATTCTGAGAGGGGAAATCTCCATGGGTTCCAGTCTTAGGCATACCTCCATCTTTTGTAAGTTTTGCACAGGAGCTTACCAGGTTTTCACAATCAATATCAAAGAAATATTTCCTCATGTTTCTGGATGGGGGAGCCCAAAGTAGCCATTTCTTCTTAGCCGGGCCTGTTTTCCACAGAAACCATTTTAATACAGCCTAAAAAACCTGGAATTTTGCATGTGCCTCGCTGACTCAAGGAAGGGAAATACCAATTCCTGCTGAAAGAATCAACAAAATCTCCTGGAACTAGTAAGTTATTACAGGAAGATTGCAGCATAGAAGGTAATTTTTTTTTTTTTAAATTGGCCCGGCGCAGTGGTTCAAGCCTGTAATCCCAGCACTTTGAGAGGCCTAGGTAAGCGGATTGCCTAAGCCCAAGGGTTTGAGAACAGCCTGGGCAACGTGGCAAGACCTCATCTCTACACTAAATCAAAAAATGAGCCGGGCATGGTAGCGTGCTCCTGTAATTCCAGCTACTTGGAAGGCTGAGGCGGAAGGATCACCAGAGTCCAGCAGGTTGAGGCTGCGGTGGCCGGGAGCGGCCACTGCACTTCAGTCTGGGTGACAGAGTGAGACTCCAACTCAAAAAAAAAAATTAGGCGGGTGAGGAAGTGCGCGCCTGTAGTTCGGCTACTTGGAAGGCTGAGGCGGAAGGATTGCCTGAGCCCAGCAGGTCGATGCTAGGGTGGCCATGAATGTGCCACTGCATTCCAGCCTGGGCAATGGAGTGAGACTCTAACTCAAAAAATAAAATGAAATAAAAAATGGATTGCTTTCTTATACACCATTAATGAACAAGTGGAATTTAAAATTAAACACACAATGCCACTTACATTAGCATCAAAAAAGAAACATTTAGGTATAAATCTAACAAAATATGCATAAGATCATATGAGGAAAATTATAGAACTCTGAAAAAGAAATCAAAGAAGATCTAAATAAATCTAAAGATCTAAATAAATCAATTATGTAAATGGACAGGAAGAGTCAATGTTATAAGGTGAATTCTTAACAATTTGACCTATAGATTCAATGTAGTCCAAATAAAATTCACAATAAGTTATTTTGAAGAGCCCAATAAACTAAACCTAAAATGTATACAGAAAAACAAAAAACCTAGAATAACCAAGACAACGTTGAAGAAGAACAAAGGCAGGTGCCTAAAACTACCCAACTTTAATACATGCTGTCGAGTTATGTAATCATGATTATGCAGTAATTGTGTAAGAAGAGACAAATAGATCAATGGAACAGAAATGATATCCAATAAATAAACTCATGCAAACACAGTCAACTGACTTTTGGCAGTGGATGAAAGGCAATTCAGTGGAGAAAAAAGTCTTTTTGACAAATGATACTGGACCTGCCCTCCCCCCAAAAAAGAACTAGGCACAGAAGCTATAAAACTTCTAGAAGATAAAATAGGAGAAAAGCTAAATGACCCTGAGTATGGCAATGACTTTTAGATATACTACCAAGAAATGAGCCAGAAAAGAAAGAATTGATAAGTTGGACTTCATTAAAGTTAAATATATACTTGGCAAAAGACATTATAAAGTTATATATACTTGGCAAAAGACATTATAAAGAGAATGAAAAGACAGGCCACTGATGGGAGAAAATTTTTGCAAAATATATGTCTGTTAAAGATTGATACCCAAAATACACAGAGACTAATAGAGAACCCAGAAATGAATTGCATACCAATGATCACTGATCTTCAACAAAGTCAATAAAAATATACACTGGGAAAAGGTTACCTTATTTAGTAAATGGTTCTGGGAAAATTGGATAGCCATATACAGAAGGATGAAACTAGACTCGTAGCTTTCACCATATATAAAAATTAAATACGGATACAAGACCTAAAATAAGACCTGAAACTACAAAGAGCTAGAAGAAAACCTGGGAAAAACTTTTTTTGGATATTGGTCCAAGCAAACCATTTATGGTCAAGTCCTCAAAAGCACAAGCTACAAAAACAAAAATAGACAAATGGAACTTATTAAACTAAAAAGTTTCTACACTACAAAAGAACAATTAACAGAGCAAACACACAACCTGCAGAATGGGAGAAAATATTTGCAAACTATGCATTTGACAAAGGGCTAATATCCACAACCTATGAGGAACTCAAACAGTTCAACAAGAAGAAAGCAAATAATCCAATTAAAGGCCAGGCACAGTGGCTCATGCCTATACTCCCAGCACCTTGGGAGGCCGAAACAGGAGTATTGCTTGAGCCTAGGAGGTCAAGACCAGCCTAGGCAACCAAATGAGACCTCATCTCTACAAAACACAAGAAAAAAAATAGTAACTGGGCATGGTACATGAACCTGTAGTGCCAGATGCTTGGGAGGTTGAGTCAGAAAACTCCTTGAGTCCAGGAGACTTAGGCTGCAGTGAGCCATGATTGTGCCACTGCACTCTAGCCTGAGTGGCAGAGTGAGACCCTGATTCAAATATAAAATAAAATAAAAAGAAGGCAAAGGACATGGACACACATTTTAAAAAGAAGACATACGAGCAACCAAAAAAATACAAGAAAAATGCTCAACTTCATCATCAGAGAATAGCAAGTTAAAACCACAGTGAAAAACTATCTTACACCACTCAGAATGGCTTCTATTAAAATGTCAAAAAACAACAGAGGCTGGCAAGGATGTGGAGACAAGGGAATTCATATATAGTTGGTAGGAAAGTAAATTAGTAAAACTTCTGTGGAAAACAGTGTGGAGATTCCGCAAGTAACTAAAAATAGAACTGCCATCTCCTCTAGCAATCCCACACTGGGTATCTACCCAAAGGGAAAGAAATAATTGTATCCAAAAGATACCTACATGCATATGTTTATTGCAGCACTATTCACAGTAGCAAAGATATGGAATCAGCTCATCTTTATCTATCAGTGGAGGACTGGATAAAGAAAAGGTGGGGTACACACACACACACACACACACACACCATGGAATATTATTCAGTCATTGAAAATAATATTGTGTCTCTACAGCAATATAGATGGAGCCAGATGACATTATCCTAAGTGAAATAACTCAGAGACAGAAGGTCAAATATCCTATATTCATACTTATAAGTGGGAGCTAAACACTGAATCCACATGAACATACAGATTAAATAATAGAAATTGGAGTTACAGACGGTGGGAAGGGTTGAGGGTTGAAAAATCACCTATTGTTTGTTTACTATTTGGTCTATGGGTACACTAAAGCCCAGACTTCACCACTACCACTCTATGCATGAAATCTTGTTCCTTCTAATTCCACAAAATTTTTTTAAAATACACAAACAAATCTTAAAACAATAGAATACAACAACCAGAAACCACAAACACCTCAATTAAAAAATGAGCAAAAGATCTGAACTGACAATTCAACAAAGATATACAGACAGCAGATAATCATATGGAGAGTTGCTAAACATCATAGGGCATTACAGAATTGCAACAAAAGCAAGATGCCACTACACACCTACTAGAGTGGGAAAAATCCAAAACACTGACACCACCAAATGCTGGGGAATTTCTCATTAATAGCTGGTGGAAATACAGAACGTTATAGTCACTGTGAAAGACAATTTGGCAATTTACAAAACTAAACATACTCTTACCACAACTGAACATACTCTTGCCACAGCAATCACTCTCCTTGATATTTACCCAAACTAGTTGAAAATTTAGGTACACACAAAAATCTGCACATGGATAATTAAAGAAAATGTATTCAAAATTGTCAGTCCTCTGAAGAAACCAAGACGTCCTTCAGTAGGTGAGTGAATAAACTATGGTACATCCAAACAATTGAGTTTTATTCAACAATAAAAAGAAATGAGCTATGAAGCCATGGAACGACATGGAGGAAACTTAAATGAATCTCACTAAGTGAAAGAAGCCAATACGACATGCTATGTACTCTGTAAAACCTTTACAAAGGTTTATTCTGAGCCAAATGTGAATGATCTGGGCTCGTGGCACCATCCCAACAAGTCCTGAGAACACGTGTCCAAGATGGTTGAATTGCAGCTTGGTTATATACATGCATCCTAGAAAGACAGAAATGACAAAAACCATAAATCAATACATGTGAGCTTTACATTGGTTTGGCCCAGGAGGGCTGGACATCTCCAAGCAGGGACTTCTAGGTTGTAGGTGAATTCAAAGGTTTGCTCTGTCTGAGGAATTTTAAAATCAGTAAAGGAAATGCCATGATGAGGGGCACTGAGATAAGGGATGGTTAAATAAAGTTACATTTCTTGATATGTAGATGAAGTCTCATAGGTGGCACCTCGGAGAGAGAATGGATAGCAAACATTAACGCTTCTGTAAATCTTCAGAAGGAGGATTCTATACAGATGCAAATTTCCCCAAGAGATGGCTTTGTGGATCATGAAATAGTTTTGATTTCCTTCTTTATCTGTTATGTGATTTGATGCCAGAGACAGATTGAAGTAAGCCACATTAAAGAAGGTTAATTAAAAACAAAACAGACAACAATAACAACAAAAAAGAAACACTATCTGATGAGACTCCCCCACTCCCTTGGTTAGGAATTTGGCAAGAGAGGAGAGAAAAGTCAGAGTCTATTCCTTAGGATCATGAGTTTACTGTTGCCGCTGGCTTTCTTACTGATGTTTGATACCATGCAAGATAGCACTGCATGTTCCTGGTAGACTAAGCGTGGGTGGTCCTGTGACCTACTCTCCTGCTTGGTATTCTGCAGGTGGAATGTCACCCTTACCTCAACCAGAGCAAACTCCTGGACTTCTGCAAGTCCAAGGACATTGTCATGACTGCGTATGCTGCCTTGGGGTCCAACTCAGACAAGGAATGGTAATGATCTTCATACACTTATTTTAATCACAGATACAGTACCTTCTGAAGTCATCTCTCAACTCTCTGGGGAAATTAAGAATAGATGGCAGGAATAATTTATCTTTATACACCTTTTACCTAACTCAGATGGACATTATAAGGATTCAATAAAACATCGTAAAATAATAAAATTACTGGAAATATTTTTGAAATAGCAAATTCTTATACAATGATTTGCTATGAAGATGGTGGTCCTAGGGTCTTTCTTTGGGCCATTTTGTCCACTTAACATATTTAACCTTTTACTAAACTTCTCAGAAATGCTTTAAAAATAATAAAGTACCCAAGTTTCCTCTGCCACGTTACTTTCCTTTGTCCTTCTCCTTTGGATATAACAAAATAAGCAAAACAGATATTGTGACAGCCAGAGGGTAAAAGGGAAAATTCTAGAGGGTAAGCCAACTAGCAGCCCCCAAGTAAAAAGAGTGTTCATCTTCAGCCAGGCAGCATCTTTGTCTCTCCTCTCAGGGTGAACAAGAGCAATCCCGTTCTCCTGGAGGATCCAGTACTCAATGCCATTGCTGAAAAGCACAGGAGAACCCCAGCCCAGGTCGCCCTGAGATACCAGCTGCAGCGGAGGCTTGTGGTCCTGGCCAAGAGCTTCAATGAGAAGAGGATCAAAGAGAACTTCCAGGTACAGGCCAGGGCAGTGGCAGCAGGGGATAGACAGAAGCACATCATGTCCCCATAAATGTGGGTGTTTGTGAGGCTCTCAAGTTATGTTTGTGAGGCTCTCAAGGTATGTTTGTGAGGCTCTCAAGGTATGTTTGTGAGGCCCTCAAGGTATGTTTGTGAGGCTCTCAAGGTATGTGGGTGTTTGTGAGGCTCTCAAGGTATGTTTGGGCAAAGTGTATCTCCTTACATACTCTATGCACATGAATAGTGTACCTAACTGTTTTATCCTTCAGTGCTACAGGGGAAAGTGTGATTGCTGGAAAGAATGCCAAATGGAGGGTCAGGTTTGGGTCCCACTTCTGGATTTTCTTGTGCCTTATGGCCCTGGGTAAATTACTCCTTGATTTCTACAGTTGTAAAATAAAGGAATACACTTCCATGAGATGTGGGCTCAAATATTTCTAGGATTCCTTTGCTACAATAACAGCTTCTCAATAAAAGTCTCTGAGGACAGACTGGAGATGCCAGTCTCAGCTACACAAATGGACAAATTCCCACAACTTTTGCCACCCAATGAACCCCAGGTCTATGACTTCTGCCTCGTAAAGCTTACATGAATTTGCGTGATTGTAAGGAAGGAAGGAGAAGGACAACCATGGCCTCAGGGAAGTGGATTGATCTTCTCATATTTCTGATAGGTTTTTGACTTCCAGTTGACACCAGAGGATATGAAATCTCTAGATGGCTTGAACAGAAATGTGCGCTATTTTGAAGATAATCTGTAAGTAGCTTGTCCCATTGTAGACATCAGAGAGCAGGACAGGGAGGAATTCAGCTTATTCTGTCCTACAGAAGGCAGAATCTGTGGCTTAGGAAAGTTGTTGGAAAACGCTTTTTTTAATGCAGACCTCAGACTAGAGGTTTACTCCAAGGGTCAGGCCTGGGCTCCCCCTGTCTACTCAGTCCCACTTAGGAGTCTACTAAGCATTTACCACATTTATTATTGGGCTCATGATGGAATCGGCAATTCCTGCCCTCCCCCGTACACACACACACACACACACACACACACACACACACACACACACACACACACACACACACCAAATATGCTCTTATGAAAGCCTTCCTGATCAAATAGCTGGCTTCTGGTTATTCTCCCTGTCAGTCGGTATTGCATCCCATGCACAGTAGCATGTGAACAGTTTACAAAGCAGGTGTGCCTCTTCTCGGTACCAGATAGACTGCCCTCTTAGCGACAAGATCAGCTTTTCACAAAGACCTGCCAGGGCCAATAGACACTCCCTCCACTGCCTCTCTGTGTCTCTGTCCTCCTGTTCTTCCCCTCCTGACTCCAGCACAGCCCCGGCAAACTCCTTGTTGTTCACCACATATGCCACACCTGTCTTGAGGCCTTGGCACTGGCTGTTCTCGCTGCCTGTGAAGTTCTTTTCCCAGGTAGCTGGACAGCTCACTCCTTTGTCCTTCAGGTCTTAAGTCACATGTCAACCAGTGATGCCTTCTTTGTCACTTACCTCAAAATGCAAACTTCCTAGAACAGTTTTTTCCTCTATCTGCTTTATTTTTATCCTTGCCACATACCCCTAACGTACCATATATTTTATTAATTTATTTTGTGTATTTTCTGTTTATCACATGAGAGTTTTGGATTCTGACAGTAGGAATTTTGCTTTGTTTTTGTTCTTAAACGTCTCTCTCCCCGGGAATTCCATAAATATTGGTTGAATAAATAATGTAATAAATGATAAAGCGGTAAGGGGAAGGGAGAGTGTCGGAGCAGGCAGTAACTCTCAACAATAAATATCAGTAATATCTTAAAAAACAATCATTACTCAATGATTTAGCAATCTCTGTCTGTCTCAAAATTATTACTTTGTATGCAAAGAGAATTCAACTTCCTTGCTAAAATGGAAGGTCCCACTGAAGAGATTTCATCTTACCATCCCTGTATCTATCGCTAAGTCTCACATATAATTTTCTCCTAGAAAACTCATAGACAAACTATTTGTGAGTGCTAGTAAGAATGGTAGCAGTGTTTTCATCACCTTCCTCACCATCACCTGAAAGCATTGATTAGCTTTAAGTATTAAATGACTCTGAGCGTTGTTTTAAGAGAGTGATGATTTGTCTCTGCCATCCTGGAAGTTCAAAGTATGAACATAAATAGTTAATTTCCTTAAGTTGTAGAATGACATCCATGCAAAAATGGAATGTGTTGGTATATTTGTGTGTATGTGCTCATACATGTGTGTATATTTATTTTCTACTTGTATTCATGACAGTGTGATGCAGTGGTCCATAATTATCAGAAGACTAGCTGGGTGTGTCCTCACTTCAAAAAGGAAGTTGATAATTTTCATGCTCATGTCATTTTAACAGAAGTCTCTTTTCATCCATCCCAGAAACAGTTAACTGACTAAGACTCTCCCTTTACCTTTTAGCTTTTCTCATCACCAGGATTATCCATTTGCTGATGACTACTAACAACAGAGTCTGTGGTTGCTCTTAATGCTTTGATTTTGGTTGAGGATAGAGAACATCTCAAGGATGAGAAGTTATCTGGCTGACTCCATATTACTTAGTCTGCTCAGTCACAAGTTGGCTCAAGTCCCTGGATCAGGAAATAACAGTCTCTCAACCTGGTCTTTTCTCATCCTCCTAAAATCAAAAGATGTATTTTAAATAACCCAATCTAGTACAGCTTTGGCATTTGCTTTTTGGCTTTTTAATTCTCACTAAGGTTGAAATGCTGACATCCCTTGAAGTGATCTTCAGACAAACGACAATAAAAGCACAACACATCAAAATCTATGGGATGCAGCAAAAGATGTTTTAAGAAGGAAGTTTATAGCAATAAATGCTGACTATAACAAGGAAGAAAGATTCCAAATAAATAACTTTACACCTCACAGAGCTAGATAATTTGTGTAGAACAAATTAAACCCAAAGTTAACAGAAGAAATAAAATAATAAAAATAAACAGAAATAAAGGAAATCAAAAAAACAAATATAGAAAAAATTAATAAAATAAGGAGTTGGTTCTTTGAAAAAGGAAGCAAAATTAGGAAAGCCCTAGCTAGACTGATTATTAAAAAAAGAAAAAACTCAAGGAAATAAAGTTAGAAGTGAACATGAAAACAATATAATAGATACTTCAGCAGTAAAAAAGGATCATTGCAAACTATTTTGAACAATTGCATGTCAAAAAATTGAATAGCCTAGAGAAGATGGGTTCATTCCTAAAAAAATAGAACCTATCAAGATTGATCAGGAAGAACTAGATAGCTTAAACAGATCAATGATAAAAAAGTTATCAAAGAAGTAACTAAAAACCTTCCAACAAAGAAAAGCACAGGACCCAATGTCTTACATAGCTGACTTCTCACAAAAATATTTACCGAATTATTGCCATAATTTTCAAACTCTTCTAAACAATAGAGGTGAATAAAATACCTTCAGACACATTTTAAGAGGCTGGCATCACTTTGAAATCTAAGCCCCAAAAAAGACATTTCAAGAAAATAAAGTTAAAAGATAATATCCACAATGAACATTACTGCAAAAATTCTTAATAAAATATTAGCAAACCAAATTAAATAACACATCAGAAAGATTATACATTTGGGGGGGTAGGTATCCCTGGCATGCAAGGATAGTTTAACATTTGCAAATCCATCAGCATGATACATTAACAAAATAAAAGACAAAAGACAAATGATCATCTCAATGCAGAAAAAGCATTTGATACAGCTCAGCATCCTTTATTGTTTATTTTTAAATTTGTTTTTAGAGAATGGGTCTCACTCTGCCACCCAGGTTGAAGTGTAGTGGTATGACCAGAGCTTATGGCAGTCTTCAACTCTTGAACTCAGGCATCAGCATTTTTTTCTGATAAAATCTCTTAACAGTTTATGTATAGAAAGAAAATTCCTTAACATAAAACAAACCATTTATGAGAAACCCACAACTAACATCACAGTCAATGGAGAACAATGGAAAATGTTCTAAGATCCAGAACAAGTATTAACATAATACTGGGAGTATTAGAAAGAACAATTATATAAATAAATAAATACAAAGTCAGAAGGAAAGAAGTAAAATTATCTCTATTTGAAGATGACATAATCCTATCTATAGAAAACTGCCAAGATTTCACAAATAAGCTGTTAGAACTAATAAATGACTTCGGTAAATTTGCAAGGTACAAAAATCAACATACAAAAATTGATAGCATTTTTATATACAAATGACTGTCTAGCTGAAAATAATGTGTTTTATAAAAGCATAAAAATAAATAAAATACCTAAGAATAAATTTAACAAAGGCAGTAAAACTATAAAACACTGATGAAACAAACAAAGAAAGATACAGGCTTGAACCACTGTGCCAGGCTAATTAAAAAAAAAAAAAAATTTACCTTCTATGCTGCAATCTTCCTGTAATAACTTACTAGTTCCAGAAGATTTTGTTGATTCTTTCAGCAGGAATTGATATTTCCCTTCCTTGAGTCAGGAAGACACAAATAAATGATAGACTGATGTCTATAATTCTATTCTTTTTCAAAGTAAAATAAATCATTAAGTCACAAGAAAAATATTAAACCATGCTTGCTACCATGAATAATGTCACGAGTAATTAATGGATGATGGCCTGGATTAGCATATGTTTTACAACTTAATTATTATTATTTAAATTTTTCCTCTCAAGAACACTATTTACTTATAAGAAAGCAGGACCAGTTTTTTTTTTTTAATTTCTGCATTTATTGCTCTAATATCAGAAAATATCATAAACTTTTTTTTTAATAAACTAAGATTTTTATGTGACTTGTTAAATATCTTTATTTGGACATGGAGGTTTGAAAGGTATAATCTCTGTTTGTGGAATATGTCATTTTACATGTATATGTAATTTTTACACTGTTGATTGTAAGCATGCTTCCTTTTTTCTATAACTCTCCTGTGTCAGAGTCTAATAAAAATAAATCTGTGAAATATTCCTTTGCAATAATGCTTTTGTACATTCTCTAAATTTATTTCTTTGTTTGCTCCTCTTTTTATTTGTTTTAATATTGACTGAACTCAGTGTTGAAAATCAAATTTAAAAATTACGTGCAGCTGGGCTCGGTGGCTCAGCCTGTAATCCTGCGCCTTTGGGAGGCTGAGGTGAGTGGATTGCCTGAGCCCACGGGTTCGAGACCCGCCTGGGCAGCGAGACCTCATCTCTACAATAAATCAAAAAATCAGCCGGCCGTGGTAGCACATGCCTGTAATTCCAGCTACTCGGAAAGCTAAGGCGGAAGGATCGCCGGAGCCCAGCATGTCGAGGCTGCTGTGGCCGAGAGTGGCCACTGCACTCCAGCCTGGGCGACAGAGTGAGACTTCAGTTCAAAAAAAAAATTACGTGCACTTTTCACCTAACCTTTTAAAATCACCTCTTTTCTTCATTCCTAGAAGTAACTACTATCAAATTTAGTATTTACATTTCCATGCATATCTTTAATCTTTCCCCACTTTTGTATATATTTCCTACAAAAAATGTAGAGGATCTCTGAATTTGGGCACTCTGGGTATCTTACAGAAGAACAATGTAAAACTTGTTGCAAATATGGGTGGCTGTCAGAATTGTCCTTCTGGTTTCCAACACCTGAAGCATCTCTTAATTGCAGCTGAGCCCTCATTAATAATCATGAAAATGTAAATTAAAGCAATAATGCTCCATTTTGAATCTCCTTAGAGATACCAATGCATTTTTTTTTTTTACCCAATGCTGGTAGTGATTTACTGACACTCTCATCAATAAACTAAATTATTCTGTAGTGTGGTCCAACTTCTTGAGAAACACTTTGATGTAGCCATTAAAGATGACAAAAATTATTTTAGGTGTTGGACCAGAATTTGACTTGCCAGCATTTGCCTTAAGGAAATAATTGAAAATATTTTTAAAACTTACACAAGTTTAAAGTTGTTTCTTATACTGTGAGTTAATAATTTGAAGTAACTGGTTGCTACAGCTTGAAATAACTTGAAAGTCCAAGTGACAGGTAAAACTTAGTGTCAACTGAATAATGGCTTCCCAAGGATGTTCGTGATCTAAACCTGGCAATATGCCATCTTGCATGGCATAAGGAACTTTGCAGATGCAATTGAGTCAAGAGCCTTGAGATGGGAAAATTATGCCGGATTATCTATGTGCACCCAGTGTAATTGCTAGTATGCTTAAAAGGGAAAGAGAAAAGCACTAAGAGTCAGAGTCAAAAAAGGGGATGTCAGAATAGAAGCGGAGGTCAAGTGATGCAATTGTCGACTCAAAGTTGAAAATCAAGGAATATGGGTGGTCTTCAAAAGACTGAAAAGTTGAGGCAAGAGACTGACCCCTAGAGCCCCTAGAAGAAATACAACCCTCCTGGCACCTTGATTTTAGTTCAATAAAACTTATATCAGACTTCCAATTTACAGAACTTGTAAGATAATAAAGGTGTGTCATATTAAGCTACTAGGATTGTAGTAATCTGTTACAGCAGCAAATGGAAACTAATACACATATATACTTGGTTTAAGCCAACTGATATATATAAGTTCACTAAAAAGGTTGGTAGGATTAACATTATCAAAAACTTTCCTGGTTGACTCCTTTTCATATTTTTAATTTTTAAATTTTAGTCTCTAGTTTCCTGTTTAATCAACAAAATGTGTTTCTTTTCACACCTAGTATTCTGATTTTTGAAGAGACATCATCTTTTATGGCCTAGATCTATACATGCTTGTAAAGTTTGGTTAACAGCAGCCACTTGTCTACGTGTCTGTCCAGCATTCATGGGTTTAGGATAGGACCTCTACCCAGCTGAAAACACCAAGTCAGCCAGAAAAAGTTTGAGCTAATAAAGAAAATTTTAAAATGCTTTTTCTTTGTGGGGTGCAGTGGCTCAAACCTGTAATCCTGAACTTTGGGAGTCTGAGGCAAGGGGATTGCCTGAGCCCACAGGTTCAAGAACAGCCTGGGCAACTTGGTGAGACCTCATCTCTACAATAAATTAAAAGATTATCTGGGCATGGTGGTGTGCACCTGTAGTTCCAGCCACTTAGAAGGCTGAGGCGGAAGGATCGCCTGAGCCCAGCTGGTTGACTCTGGGGTGGTCATGAGCATGGCACTGCACTCCGGCTTGGCTGACGGAGTGAGACTCCAACTCAAAAAAAAAAATGCTTACTTTTCAGTTTTGGCAGTTCTACAATAACTGGTTGCATAGATGAGAAAGCCAACACCTCTGTAATGAATTTCTCCCTCTGAGAGCTTTACTTTATCATTTTATGGAAAAACAGGTGAATAAGAATGTCTTGCTTAAAAAAATTCTCTATATAAATATTTACATAAAATATACATTAGATATTATTTATCATGTTTATATAAATATATGCAATATATACCACGACTCTTGAACAACACAGGAATTAGGGGTGCTGAGCTACAGTGCTGTCGAAAATCCA